TTCGGGATTCTAATCTTCATGTTTGTGCTTCTCTCGTGTCTCGTGCCCATGTCTCTAATCTTTCTTTTGTCTGTGAGAAAGTTTTTGGATTTTGGTCCTGGACCTCTAATGGCTCCCTTATCCCTAGAGGTACCCATATCATTGTTACATGAAACCTCATTCATGTCGACATGATGCTCCTAAATGCCATTGATCAGGTGATGCATTTCCAGGTCAAGATCCGGGACACATCTAAGAATATTTTCCTCTCTTTTGTCTACACGGATAATTACCATATCGTCCGTTGCTAGTTATGGGCTTCTCTTAGAGGTCATAAAAAAATCGTCAAGGACTCCCCATGGTTCATCATGGGAGACTTTAATGCTGATCTTGACCCGAAAGACAGAACCTCTGGCATGTCGGGATCCTCTCATGGTTTGGATGATTTCCGTGATTGTGTGCGTTACCTTAAGGTTGAGGACATCAATTTCAAGGGTCTTTTCTTCACCTGGTCCAAAAACCCACATGGCACGAGCGGCCTCTTCAAAAAGATTGCTCGTGTCTTGGGTAACTCTCATTCTCTTGCTCACTTCCCTTCTGCCTCTGTCATCTTTCATCCTTATCGGTCCTCAAACCATAGCCTAGCGGTCCTGACTCTTTTGTCCCACATTTCTCATAAGCCCAAACCGTTCAAATTTTCCTAACTTCTTTCTCATAAAGAGTCTTTCAAGAACGTTGTCGCTTCGAGTTGGAACCCTGATCATTCCGGTCATGAGATGTATAAGATCTCCCAAAACTTAAAAATCTCAAAGGTCATCTCCGTAAACTTCTTAATGATCAGGGTAATCTTTTTTCCAAAGTCTCTAAACTTTGGCTAGAACTTGATAGAGTTTAGATCGCTCATAATAGGAACCCTGATAATATGGCCCTCCGAGAGGAGCACTGTGGGTATTTATCTGCCTACAATGTTGCATGCCTCGATGAGGAGCGGTTTCTAAAGCAAAAGGCTAAGATTACTGGCTCCATGAGGGAGACAAGTTCTTCCTTTTTTCATAAGTCGGTCAAGAGTCGTATCAGCCAGAATCATATTGATACCATTCAAAACGCTGACGGCCTTTGGGTTGATACTGAGGCGGTTCCCCGCCTCTTTAAATTTCTGGGCACCCCTCACCCCACTCTCCCTATTCGTGATCCTGCATTTTTATTCTTTAATAAGCTTAATGCTGATCAAGCGGCCATGATGCTCACTTCCCTTTCTGACTCCGAGATAAAGCATGCCCTATTCCATATGGGAGACGACAAGGCTCCAGGGCCTAATGGTTTCACTGCTAAATTCTTTAAGACCGCTTCAGATATTGTTGGTAAGGATATGTGCTCTGCCGTTCGTGAGTTCTTCTCGTCCGATAAGCTCTTAAAGTCCCTAAACAACACCATTCGTGCCCTTATTCCTAAATCGGCTGCCCCCTCTAGAGTCACTAATTTCTGCCCCATAGCTTGTTGTAGTGTCTTGTATAAAATCATAAGCAAGATTATCACAAATCATATTAAAGATCATCTCCCTTCTCTGGTTGATGTTAACCAGTCTGCGTTTATCCCAGGTCGGTTCATCACGGACAATGTTCTTTTTGTCCAATAACTCATGTGTGGCTATCATAAGCAACGAGGTCCCCTTGTTGTGCCTTGAAAGTTAACATTCAAAAGGCTTATGATACCGTTGATTGACATTTCCTCCGCACCGCCCTATTTGGCTACGGATTCCCCCTAACTATGACTAATTGTATTATGAAATGTGTCTCTACTACCTACTTCGCTAGTATTAATGGAGATTTACATGGCTATTTCAAGAGGGGCCGGGGCCTGAGGCAGGGTGAACCCTTTCCCGTACCTCTTCATTATGGTCATAGAGGTCCTTAACCTCATGACGAAAAGAAAAATCATGGAGACGAGCACCTTTTCCTATCACCGAAATTGTGAGGAACATGATACCACCCACCTTTGCTTTGTTGATGACCTCCTCATATTCTGCCATAGTAATAATGACTTTGTCCATGTCATAAAGGATTTGTAGGATGAGTTCTCTAGGGTGTCTAGCCTATACCCCAACCATGCCAAAAATGAAGCTTTATATTGTAATATTGGTCAGCACACCAAGAGCGCCATCCACTCCATCATTCAGTTCCCTGAGGATTCCCTCCTGGTCCGTTATCTTGGAGTTCCCCTTATCACTACCCATTTGTATCACAATGACTGCAAGGGTCTTGTTCATAAGGTCAAAGCCAGACTGAATGATTAGAAAAATAAATCTCTCTCTTTTGTCAGTAGATTGCAGCTCATTCTCTAGGTCCTATCCTCGATGCAAATCTATTGGGCCTCAATCTTTGTTCTTTCTGTTTCCATCTCCAAGGAGATTGAGCAGCTCATGCGGGCCTTCCTGTGGTGCCATGGTGAACTGAAAAAAGGGAAAGCTAAGGTCTCCTGGAAGACCGTCTATCTTCCCAAATCCGAAGGCGGACTTGGCATCAATAGCCTAACTAGTTGGAATCTTGCCCTAATGGCTTCCCACACTTGGAGAATCCTCACCAACAAGGATTCCCTCTAGGTTAAATGGATCCACTCCTACAGGCTTAAAGATCGTAATTTATGGGACGCCCTGATCTGCAACGATGTTGGTTGGGGCTGGAGAAAGATCCTGGACATGCATGATAAGATAAGAGACTTTAATGTCTCCCAGATTGGTAATGGCACCTCCACGTCTGCCTGGTTTGATAACTTGCACCATGTTGGCCCTCTCTGTCGGTAAATCTCTCCCCGTAATATCGTTAGTGCTAACCTCTCCCTCAATGCCTATGTTAAGAACATTATCTATAATGGTAGTTGGATATGCCCCCACCTACGGGACAGTCCCAACCCCATTATCTGTGATTCTTCTCATCCTCTCCTTTCCCCTTCCGTCCCTGATAAACTCATTTAGAGGAAAATGGATGGTCGTCTTACCCCTTTCTCAGTCCATGAGGCCTGGCTTTCTATTCTTCCAATGAGCCAAATGTCGATTGGTACCACATGGTCTGGTTCTCTCCTTTCATTCTTTGGGTTGCCCTTAAGCAGCGTCTTAAGACGCATGATAAGCTTCGATTCTGGGAGGCCTATTTTAACATGTCCTGTGCGTTCTGTCATAACGGGCCTGATTCTCATCAACATCTTTTCTTTGAGTGCCCGTACCCTAATCAGTTTTGGAATGGCCTTAAACCCAAACTGAACTCTCTTTGTTGTCCCGAATAACTAGGCTGATATCATCAGTATCTTTCAGCAAGCCACCAAAGGCAAGACCATCTGGTCTATCATTCGCAGATTAGTGCTTGCTGGTACCTTCTACCACTTCTGGCAAAAAAGAAATAACCGTATCTTCAAGAATAAGAGAAGATCTCATGACATGGTGGTCAAGACCATTACTAATGATGTCCGTTTCCCAGCTTTTACAAAAAGCCCTCACCGAATGTTGTCCGGGCTTGGCTTGCCTGGAACCTTCCCTAGTGGTTGGTCTTTCTCTCCTCTCCCCTCTGTTTTCTTCCTTTCATTTCCTTCGGGGAACATTGGTTTCTTTCTAGTGGATGTGGTTCGCCCCCACCCGAGTGCTTAATATGTTGCTTTTATCGTTTTTGGTTTTTTTCCCTCTTGATAGGAGGGGCCTCCCCTCCCCTCTGTATATCCAAAAAAAAAACACCAAACATGTTTATCTCACATAATATCGAAGTATATAAACATGTTTATCTCACGTAATACCAAAGTATATATATATATATATATAATCAAAGTATAGTT